TTTCCCTTTTTTTTTTTTTTTTTTTTTTTCCCCCTTCAACTTTAGACACTGGTCGTGTGGTCGCAAGTGCTGCATTACCTCTGAAATGTCCCTTGGGATCCAAACCTTGTAGTGATGGGAAAGAGTGTGTCCTGTACAGCCATGTGTGTGATGGGGAGAAAGATTGCAAAGATGGGTCTGATGAGAGGAACTGTGAACGTAAATGTAAAAAAGGTACAATAGAAATACAATTTATCCTTATTTGATGAGGAATTAAACTGGACAAATTTATATATTTTATTAATTCAACCTTCTAGGCCAGTTCCAATGTGCTCACGGCAGAAAGTGTATAGACATGAAGCTTGTGTGTGACGGCACACCTCAGTGTCAGGACCGATCAGATGAAATCAACTGTATGAAGCTCTCAGAGGAGTGCAGGCACCCGTGTGACAACAAAACCCGCTGCGTTCCTGAAACCTTCCTCTGTGATGGAGAGAGAGACTGTGCGGATGGCACTGATGAAGTCAACTGTGGTAGGTCAATGGCATGAAGTGTTTATGGTAGCAAGTTAATGGATAAGGATCTGGGTTCCATCTCAAAGACTCAGGAACTGATGAGTATTAGATCGTCTTGATCCATCAAGACTTTGCCCTTGTACAAGGCAGTAAACGGTAATTCAGTTTATTCCAGAAAAATTGACTTGGTTTAGAATACAAAATATCTTCTGGAAATGCAGGCTGTTGAAATAGCATCATTCATGAAATGAGCAGAGTTAATGATTTATTTTATCACCATTTATTTTATCGCAATATCTGTTTTTTTTTTGTTTTTTTTTGGTGTACTTTACATTTTCATTTAGCAGGTGCTTTTTGTCCATCCCACTGCAACTAGTGTTTTTAAATGAAAAATATACTCTGTGTAATTGGCTTTCGGCCCTTTGTATTAAACTATGCATGCATACATGATGCTGTTTTGTTTATAGTTGTTTAAGCAACTTATAATTAGTTTATTAACCATTTTAAACATAATGCACTTTTTTCACAGATAGTCATGTCATCTTATGTTTTGCTTGATGCGCCCTCTTGTGGCCTCAGGAGAGAAGCCAAATGCTTTTCTTCCCCCTAACTGAAATTATGCATATTAAATGCGTATGTGCGAGCAGCTATCGTCGGATCATCAGGATGGAATGAGAGGTAGAGTTGAGTGTCATCAGCATAGCAGTGATATGAAAAGCCATGTTTCTGAATGACAGAACCTAGTGATGCCATGTAGACAGAGAAGTGGTCCAAGTACTGAGCCCTGAGGCACCCCAGTAGCTAGATGTTGCGACTTTGACACCTCACCTCTCCAAGATATCTTGAATGACCTATCTGATCTAGTAAGATATAGTAAGACTCAAACCACTGGCGTGCGGTTCCTGAGATGCCATTTTCCAATAGGGTTGATGGGAGGATCTTGTGGTTAACCATGTCAAAAGCAGCGGACAGATCCAGCAAGATAAGTATTGAAGATTTGGAATCCGCTCTTGCCAGTCTTAGGGCTTCAACAACTGAGAGCAAGGCAGTTTAGAATGAATATCCACTTCTGAAACCAGACTGGTTGCTGTCCAAGAGGTTGTTCTGTGTGAGAAAGGCAGAGACTTGGTTGAACAGAAGCTTGTTCAAGTGTTTTTGCAATGAAATGAAGAAGGGAAACCGGTCTGTAGTTCTCTAAAAGAGTTGGGTTAAGAGTGGGTTTCTTAAGTAGTGGGGTTATAAGAGCCTGCTTAAATGCTGAGGGAAAAACACCAATGTTAATGATGTGAGTGAGGGCAGGTACAACTGCAGGAGAAATGGCTTGAAGGAGATGAGATGGAATAGGAACAAGCGGACAAGTAGTAGGATGATTAGAAAGGATGCATTTGGAGATTTCGGTCTCAGAAAGTGGGAGAACGATGTGAACGAGTGTATGTTTGCTGGTAAGACGTGCTTGACAGTTTGTCGTGTGGAGAATTGTGCACTGATGGTTTTAATTTTGTCAATGAAGAACATGGCAAAGTCATCAGCTGTTAGTAGGGCGTGCAGTTGCATCAAACAATGGTATAAACATCATTCAATGTAAATTGTGATAATTGTAGTAATCGCAATTATAATTTCAAGGGAATAATCGATGAAGCAGGGGGAGGAGGAGGACAAAGAAGGTGTGTGTGTGTGTGTGTGGTGTATTGTTTGTTTGTGGGTTTTTTGTTTGGTGCTTGCGGTGTGTTGTTGTTTTTTTTGGTTTGTGGTGTTTTGTTTTTGTTTGTGTGTTGATTTTGCGGTGTCATGGTTTCTTTTGTTTGTGGTGTTTTTGTTTGGTGTTTGTTTGATGCGTGTGGAGTTTTATTTATTTTTTATTTTTTCTCTGGTGTGGTGTTGGTGTTTTGTTTGGTGTTTGTGTGTATTGTTTGTATGCAGTGTGATGGTTTTTGGTGTTTGTGGCGGTGTTTTGTTTGGTCTTTTTGTCGCGTGTGGTGTTTGTTTGGTGCACGTGGTGTTTTGTTTGATGCATGTGTTTGTAGTGTGGGGGTTTTTTGTTTTTTTTGGTGTGTTGGTGTTAGTGTTCGGTGGTGTTTGTTTGGTGCGTGTAGTGTTTGTGGAGTTTTTTTTTTTTTTGTGTTGGTGGAGTTTTGCTTGGTGCCTGTGGTGTGTTTGTTGGTGGTGTTTGTGTTATGTTTGTAGTCCTTTTGTGTGGTATGGTTGTTTTTTGTTTTTTTTGTGTAGTGCCTCTAATACAAGTGTATTTCAAACAAAGTAGACGTGCAAGTAGACATGTATTCAGAAGGTTCAACATGATAGCCAGGTATCCATCTGCACCATACAACCTCTTCTCTTCCTGTTTAGAACTGCAAGGTGACTCCACTGAAGTGTGGAGCGTTCCAGTGGTCGTGTGTATCTAAAACGCAATGCATTGCAACGACCTGGAGGTGTGATGGCGTAAAGGACTGTAAAGATGAGAGTGATGAATCTGGATGTGAGTGGACATTTGAAATCAATTCCTAACTCCATACCAGAATCTGTTCAATACTAAAATGTAAAAATTGCTTGTTTTGTAGGTGGTCAAGTGAAATGCCCGACACACTTGTTCCAGTGTGGAAGTGGGGAGTGTGTGGACCCAGATCTGGTGTGCAACAAGGCATCTGACTGTGCAGACGGTTCTGATGAGGGTCTGGGGTGTCTAAAGAGCAACTGCTCCAGTCCCAGCCACCCATCATGCCAGCACTACTGCATCAACACGCCACATGGAGCGGTTAAACATTCATTTATTGCTTTATAAAAAAGCTTTATAATACACATTGTATTATGCATGAATTATCCAAAACACAAATATAAATCAAACCAAATGTATATTTTAGCTGTTTGCTTTCCACTAAATCTTGCAAAAATCTGTGTTAAAAAACATGGAGCGGTTAAACATTCATTTATTGCTTTATAAAAAAGCTTTATAATACACATTGTATTATGCATGAATTATCCAAAACACAAATCATAAATCAAACCAAATGTATATTTTAGCTGTTTGCTTTCCACTAAATCTTGCAAAAATCTGTGTTAAAAAATTGTTGTGTTTCCAGAGATGTGGCTGTAAGACTGGCTTCAGGCTTCAGTCTGACGGTTTAACCTGCAACGACATAAATGAATGTAAAGAGATTCAGCCCGCTGCCTGCAGTCATAAATGCCTCAACACGCTGGGCTCTTACCTGTGTCAATGTGACCCTGAATTTATACTGGAGCCAGATGGACATAGCTGCAAGACAGCAGGTATCAATCTATAGCAGCTAGCTAGCCTCGCATAGCCAAACTTTTGATTATCACTGCAAAGTCTGATCCACTTTGCTGATGTTTCTAATCAAGTATTACCAGGAAGTCCTTTTTTTTCTTTTTTGTGTGTGAAAGTGACCAACCACACTTTACACTTTTACATGCCTTTAAGGGATGGTCTCATCTGAAATGGTACAAAAAAAATATATATATATATTTAAAATTCATTTAAATAATTGCACAAATGGGTGCACAGGAGATGCTGAAAATAGTGGAAATGTACATAGACAATATGTACTTGCAATCCAATAGTATTTTTATTCTTACTATTATTCTTCTCTATTAATATTATTGTTCTTATGATTAAGTCATGTTTTTTGTGCAGAGGAACCCAGTCTTTTGATCTCTGAACAGTATGAGCTGTTAAATTTGGGTCTGCGAAGCGCCAGTATTCAAGCTCTCATCGCACCAGGACGGAAGGCCATCTTCTCTCTGGACTACGACCGGAGAGAGCAGAGGGTGTACTGGGTCAGTCTGGAGGAAGAGAGCATCAAATATGCCTTCCACGGAATAAAGGACAACATTGGAACTATTGTCAAAGGTAAAAAATAAATAAATCCATACATAAATAAAAGTAGATACAATTATTTTATAGTACACATTTTTTTGTAAATTGAGTTTTAAATAAAAATACTAAGTGGGTTTAAAGTGGGTTTTTTTATTTTTTCGTTTTTTTCATTGTTTGTTTTATACTTCACTCCACAACCTGTACAAGTTATAGTGGCCTCCATTATAAATAACATTTGCTTGATGTTAAATTCATTTTGTACGTTGTTTTGGAATATAAGTTTAAAAAAGAAATGCTAATTATATTCCAAAAAATATGGAAGATACAATTATTTTATAGTACACATTTTTTTGTAAATTGAGTTTTAAATAAAAATGCTAAGTATTACACTTTCATTCTAAAGAACTATTATTAATAATTTTATTTTTATGTATGCATGCATGTATGTATGTATGCAAATCTATATATGATATTGATTGTATTGCAACTTTTTTTTGGCGATGGAATGATTGGAACACATCAAATGTGACGCATTGAAATATGATTCTGCTGGGTCAAACAAATTAACACATAAACAAAAATTAAGGCTCAAATATGAAGTTAAAATAATTTTTAAATAAATAAATTTTACAGAAAAAGAAGAAATTAACTGACATCAGACAACTGTCAACATTATATGTGAATGCTACGTTTTTTTTAAATATTGCCCTAAAATTTCAGGTCCTTAAACACCATATTTTCTGAAAAATAAATCACTCCTGACTGTAAGTTGCACCAGGTCATTGCATTGATATAAATAAATAAATGATGAGTTGCATCAGTATACGTCACATTATTACGTTCAGAAATAATGTAAAATACCAGTAAATAAAATGTTAAGGTTTACAAGCATACTAGAAACTTATTTTTCAGTCCTGTTCTGTTATTAATACCATTCAGTTTAAAGTGGGTTTTTTTATTTTTTCGTTTTTTTCATTGTTCGTTTTATACTTCACTCCACAACCTGTACAAGTTATAGTGGCCTCCATTATAAATAACATTTGCTTGATGTTAAATTCATTTTGTACGTTGTTTTGGAATATAAGTTTAAAAAAGAAATGCTAATTATATTCCAAAAAATATGGAAAGTATTTTAGGCCAAAGTCTTCGGCTTACAAAAAAGTTTGGGAATCCCCGCTCTAACCAGAACAACTTTGCACGTTCAGGTGTGAAATCCGACTCCATTGCTATTGACTGGATGGGAAGGAACCTTTACTGGGTGGATGGTGTTGCTGGGCAGATTCTAGCTGTGAGATTGACCAGCAGTAATGTAGAGGCACAAAACTACTTAACAGTTGTGGATAAGGATTTGCATCAGCCTCGTTCGCTTGTGCTGCTGCCTCAGAAGGGGTAAGAAGCCCCTCCATGAATTGGCGCTATTATGAGTTTTCAGTCTCGGTGTATGGATGCAGATGAATGTTTCCAGATACTGTCTGCAGGATAATGTTCTGGTCTGAGATTGGAGGTCAGGCACAGATCGAGCGCTCTGGCATGGATGGCTCGGACAGGAAGGTGGTGGTCAGCCGTGGTCTCGAGCGGCCTGTCAGCGTGACGGTGGACATATTGACTGACAGACTGTACTGGACTGACGAGAAGCTCCGGTGTATAGGCTCAGCGACGCTGGATGGAGAAAACATAAGGGTAATATGAAATGCTACTGTACAAACGATAAATGGCACAATCTACAATTTTTTTTTTTATCATTTTGTGTTTTGTTTTTCAGTTGCTGCAGCTGTCGGAGATGCCCAAGCTTTTCTCTGTGGCTGTGTTTAATGACATGGTCTACTGGTCTGACACTCACAGAAGATCCGTTCAAGGTGCCAATAAACTGACTGGCAAGAACCGCAAAGTTCTTCTCAAGAGACCCGGGCAGCCGTTCGACCTCAAAGTGAGAATACGTGCTGTACACGTTACTAAATGTCATCACAGTCGTCTTCTACATCAATATGTCTTGCATTACTGAGTGTTTCCCCTCTCTGTTCTGTTCTAGGTTGTCCACCCTCTTTTGCAACCCAATGTGTCCGGCCCGTGTGAGAAGCTCAGATGCTCTCACGCGTGTTTGCTGGCTCCGGGGCTCAAAGCGGTCTGTCGCTGCCCAGCGGGGATTCTCTTAGCCGCGGACGGATTCACCTGCGCCACACCTGTGGATTCCTCCTCTTCTTTCCTCATGCTGCTGTCTCCTACCATGATTACACAGGTGCTCCACTCTTGAAGAATTATTTAATAGCCTTCCGTGATTGTAGAGTAAAACCTTTGGAATTACACTGTATATTCTTATTACCTTTTTGCTGGTTTTAAATTCAACATGAAATCAAAATTGACCTTATTTACTTGTATGCAGATTCCTAGTCTTACTGTGCATATTCATAATTTATCAGTGCAATAATGTGTAATTTCATTAATTCATTATTGCATCATTTTTGGTTATTTAGGTATCGCCTAGTTAACCAACAGCCAAATTTGTTTATTTATAAATTGGTAACTAAAAAACTAATTATGTTCCAATTAAATTATAATTCAGTTTATTACATTATATTTATAATTACATGTGTAATTAAATTGAATTATTTGCCGTTGTAAATCATTGTATATTTTTTCTGTATACATGTTGTTTATAATTGTATTCATAATTTTATTTAAAAAAATATATATATACTTATAAAATTATAAATCACGTCTAAATTATTTAATATTCTTATGTATAGTTAATATAATTGTTATTAAATGATAATTATATCAATTAAATTATATTTAAACACTTTTATTTATATTTTTCCCTCATTGAATAACTGAATATTTTCACTCAAATACACCAAATTCCTAATATAAAATGATAAAATAGATTTTAAAAAATGGTTTAAAAATTATTTTAAAAATCTAATTTATACAGGATTTTTTTTTTAATAATAGTCAAATTTATTGTAATTTATTTATTTTGCAAAAAAATAAGAAAAAATAAATGGGTTACATTGAGTCACCTGGAATGGAAGTAAGTGTGGCCAATCTGTAAAAGTTAAGATACTTGCTGTGAAGTGTAAATATGTATAATGTGTGAACAATTATTTAATTTCATTTTATTTTGATAAATGAAGGATTTTTTTTTCTCCAAAATGCTATCGATTAAGCTTCACTTTTACTAATCCCTAAATAAATAAGCTGTTGTCCCCTGCTCAGATCTTCACTAAGAGCCTTCAGGCAGGATTCGGGCTGAAGACGTGGCCAGAGCACCGTGCTCTACCTCTGCCCGCCGTGAATGAAGCTTCAGGCTTCGATCTGCTCCGCAAGGACAGCACCATCTCCGTAGCTGACGCCGGACGCGGGTCTGTAGCTCAGCTCAAACTCAGCGGCTCTGGTTTCACACCCATCGGTCACGTGCTTCAGCTCAAAGGGGACCTGGTGACCGCTCTCGCTGTGGACTGGGTCACCCGAAACCTCTACTGGAGCAGCGTCAAGAGCCCCCAGCTTTACGTCACGTCCCCCGGAGGGAAATACACCAGCCTGGTGCTGCCGGCTAAGCTGGAGGGAACCATCTCCATCGCCCTGCACCCTCCCACAGGCCGGCTGTGCTTCACCGCAGTGGGACGGAGGGCAGCCCAATCTCTGCCTCAGGTGGACTGCGCTCACATGGACGGGAGCAATCGCACGCTGCTGTGGAGCAAAGCAAAGATGCCTGCTTCACTTGCCTTTTCTGAGAAAGGAACAACACTGTATTGGGCAGATATTGGTGCGTTAAAAACTAATTAAATTACACTTTCCACATTAGGGTACAGATTGATGTCCCAATATTAAAACACAAATATATTTATATTTTATACATTTAAGAAAACAAGGACATTTTCTTTTTTTAGAGAAAACCGCTATGTTTGCTCAAACTATCTAACATTTAAAATTAACATGGCATGCAAAGTACAGTAGTTTTAAAAATCAGAGGCCTGTCCTGCCTTGGTGGTAAAAATCTAAAACTTTTTTATACATACATTTTCAGCTTGAATCTATTTTGTGCACAACCCCTGTTTTTTTAAAAGCATTTTTGGGAAGATATTTTATTTCCTTAGTTTTTACACAGTGTAGTGTTTGCTGTCAAAGTCAACCATTCAAGTTTTCTTTTAATTTCTAGTAGTAGCAGTAGTAGTGCACTAATACATTTTATTTATTTTACATTTGTTTGGGAAATACTCTTCTATACTTGTTGTATTTATTATTTGTGTTATTATTCTTGTTATAAAATACATTTGTTTTTTATTTTATTTGGAAAATACTAATTTATCTTTATTATTATTATTATAAAAGCACTAAAACATTTTATGGTTTATATTTTTTACATTTTCATTTATTTGGGAAATACACTATTTATTTTTATAAAATACATTTGAATTTATTTGGGAAATACACTAGTATTTATTTTTATAAAATACATTTGAATTTATTTGGGAAATACACTAGTATTTATTTTTATAAAATACATTTGAATTTATTTGGGAAATACACTAGTATTTATTTTTATAAAATACATTTGAATTTATTTGAAAAATACATTTATGTTATTAGGAAAATATATTATCATTAATATTAAAAACACTAATACAATTTATTTGTTCATCTGAGAAATACGAGTTTATCTAGGACTACAAACTAATATTTTGTCTTTAGCTAGTTTTGTTAAATTAGGCTAACTCTTAGGCACTCTTACTTGTTTGCTTCTGTTTTGTTAGTTTTTTGTGACGGAAATCGAATGTCTTATTTCCTGCCGTGGAAATGATCTCTTCCAAACCAATCTATAATAACCAAATTGATAATAACCAATAAATTTTTTTTCCCTTTATCCAAGGCAATGAAATAATTAGCTCTATTAATATGGACGGCTCTAATTATAAGGAGTACAGCACCGGATCTGCCTTCATTGTGTCCTTTGCTCGTGTTGAGAACATCTACTTCTGGATCACTCTGGACAACGGTAACAATCAAAGACCTCTAGAAATCTAGTTTCCACTGAATGCAGATCTGTGTAGAACCGCTAGATGGCATGAAGCCATCGACTTCCTGTCTTTCAACCTTCAAATATTCTTTAAAAACAGTTTTTTGACTCCCAAGTGACTCTCAAAAGGAAGCTTGGTCAGTAGTTTATACATTTAATAATTGGAACTACAATTATTAAATTGAGAACTCTTGTTAAACAATTAATTTTAATGAAGTTTTATATGTAGATCAGTCAAATTCATATAAATTAATATCAATATATGCTGAGAAAAGTTTCCTAACAGTTTTTGAATCTTCATTTTTATTTTTTAACAGGTACAGCTAAAGTATGGTACACGGATGGTTTCCAGCCCAAACTGATGTGGTTTGAGGTGAAGGCAAACGTCATTGAGCTGAAGGCTTACAGCAGGTCCAGTCAGAAAGGTACTTCTGTGTGATCTGAGGTGTGTGTGTGTGTGTGTGTGTGTGGAGGGAGACGCAGTTAGAGTTCTCCTCTTACGCTCCCACACCCCTCACTGTATCTTTCACTGAAGAAGCCGTGCAGCACAGACTCGCTCGCTGCTCCTCAGCTTGACTCTGCTACTACTCTGCTTTTGCACAGTATGTAGTGTGCGTGTTGTATATGGTGCGTGAATGTCCTGTATATTTGAAATGCCCGGATCACCGAATACATTTGCCAAAGTGCACCCTACACAACAAAGTACACTGCGCTTTGTACTGCATCCCACAATGTGTTCGATTTGGCCTTACTTTTCCAGTCTGATGAATAAACCATAGTGATTGCATAATTATTAACGAAATTTGATTTGTCTGACAAAAGGTAATTTTACATAGTTGAATTAAAATATTTAAATGTTAATCTGATTCTTTTTTTACTTATTTTTCTTTTTTTTCTCTCTCTCTCTATATATATATATATATATATATATATATATATCTATATATTTAAATTAAATATTGAATTTAATTCTATGTACATTATTTTTTTTGTTTTTTGTTTTTATCATCTTTGTCTATCTTATTTTATTTTTCATGTTTTACTTTTGCATTTTTATTTATTTTATTTTTTTGTCTCTTTCATTTAAACTTTACTCTTTATCGTATTTGGTTAACTATTTTATTTTTTTATCTTGTAATTTGATCTAATTTAATTCACTATTTTATGCATTTATTTATTTATTTCTATCGTATTCTATCACTTATTTTTGTATGCATGTATTTCTTAATTCATTTATTATCTTTTTCCATTTCTTTTAACTTCTTTTTTTTTTATTCTTTATAAATAAGGTAAAAAAAAAAGAAATATAAAAAATAACAAACATAAATATTGTTTTCTATCTTTATATAAATATTTCATATTAATATATAGTAAATATGATATAAATATTAACAAACAAAACATTTATCTATTAATTTAATCATTTGTTTTATCTAATCTGATAAATTATCTTGTTTTATCTATTTGTAATCTAGTGTGTTAGTCTGAACACAGGTGGCATCTCTGTGCCAGAGTGAACTGAACAAGGTAGAATAACACTAGTGTATGTAACATCTGACTTTGTCTGCTTTTCTGTTCCTGACCAGGAACCAATGTCTGTTTATATATATATATATATATATATATATATATATATATATATATATATATATTTAAATTAAATATTGAATTTAATTCTATGTACATTATTTCTCTATTTTTTTTGTTTTTATCATCTTTGTCTATCTTATTTTATTTTTCATGTTTTACTTTTGCATTTTTATTTATTTTATTTTTTTGTCTCTTTCATTTAAACTTTACTCTTTATCGTATTTGGTTAACTATTTTATTTTTTTATCTTGTAATTTGATCTAATTTAATTCACTATTTTATGCATTTATTTATTTATTTCTATCGTATTCTATCACTTATTTTTGTATGCATGTATTTCTTAATTCATTTATTATCTTTTTCCATTTCTTTTAACTTCTTTTTTTTTTATTCTTTATAAATAAGGTAAAAAAAAAAGAAATATAAAAAATAACAAACATAAATATTGTTTTCTATCTTTATATAAATATTTCATATTAATATATAGTAAATATGATATAAATATTAACAAACAAAACATTTATCTATTAATTTAATCATTTGTTTTATCTAATCTGATAAATTATCTTGTTTTATCTATTTGTAATCTAGTGTGTTAGTCTGAACACAGGTGGCATCTCTGTGCCAGAGTGAACTGAACAAGGTAGAATAACACTAGTGTATGTAACATCTGACTTTGTCTGCTTTTCTGTTCCTGACCAGGAACCAATGTCTGTTCTGGAAACAACGGGGGCTGCAGTCACCTGTGTCTGCCGTATCCAGGTGGACGCTCGTGTCGCTGTGCGCAGGACTACCTCTCTGTGAACAAAACCAAATGTGTTTCCAACCTGAAGTGTCCCGCGGGCAGTAAAGCGTGCAGAGACAGCCTCACGTGCATCCCTGCGGCCAAGTTCTGCGACCAGATCCCAGACTGCCAGGACGGCTCGGATGAGGAGTGTGAGTGATTCTTCATTCTTCTGCATGACTGTTATTCTCCAATTTCTGTTTTGCAATATTATAGATTAGTTTATAGACTCAGTGCTAATGTGTCCCGAGCTGCTAGGCAGTTTCTAGGCTGTTGTTAGTACATTGCAACAAACAAGAACGCTCAAGCAACTTTCTGGCAAAGGTGTTCTAGGTGGTTTCTAGGGCATTGCTAGGAGGCTTTCTTTAGATTATCTGACAGGCAGAACCTTTTATGTCTTAAAAGAATAGTTCACCAAAAAAATTAAATCTGCTGAAAATTTACTCACCCTCAGGTCATCCAAGATGTAGATGAGTTTGTTTCTTCATCAAATTTGGAGAAATGTAGCATTCCATCACTTGCTCCGCAATGAATCCTCTTCAGTGAATGGGTGCCGTCAGAATGAGTCCAAACAGCTGATAAAAACATCACGATAATCCACACCACTCCAGTCCATCGATGTCTTATGAAGCAAAAAGCTGCGTGTTTGTAAAAAAACAAATCCATCATTAAAGGATAGTTCACACAAAAATTACAATTCTGTCATTAATTACTCACCCTCATGTCGTTTCAAACCCGTAAGACCTCCGTTCATCTTCGGAACACAAATTAAGATATTTTTGATGGATTCTGAGAGCTCTCTGACCCTCCATAGACCGCAATACAACTGAAATGTTCCCAAGTCCAGAAACGTAGCAAGGAGATCTGTAAAATAGTCCATGTGACATCAGGGGTTCAACTGTAATTTTTTACGAAGCTACAAGAATAATTTGTGCGCAAAAGAAAAAAAATAACGACTTTATTCAACAATTCGTCTCCTCCGCGTCACCCTGTAGTGCCATTTTTGGAGAATATCCGCTGGACGTAAACAGTGTCAGCTGTTCTGTGTCAGCTGCGTCACACGGATACAATGTTTTCATTCAGATCAAATCACAACAACGTAGGAAACCGATCCGGCGTGATGCAGATCATTTATTATATCATTTTGAAAATGCTTATTTTGAGTGGAAGCAGAAACGGGCTGTTTTCGTGCATGTCTCTTTAAATGCAAATGAGCTACTGCCCTCCGCCCCTTTTCCAGAATAGAGCTGTGCCTTTACAGCTCATACCTCAGATGATACTCTGCTAAAAACATCAGTTTGGTTTTGATTAGCCTCTTCATGTCGATCACGCAGAAATCATGTGTTTTAAACCATATTAGCTTAAACTTCTGTTTACGTTTTCTGAGCGCACAGAAAGCAGCTGCGCACAGCATACGAGTAATAAACTAAGTTCTCTTTCATGTCTTATTGCGCTTAAACTATCAAATACACACAAGTTTGTTAAAAACGCATTAGTTACAACACAGTCGGTTATGTCTGTGAAGGTAAACAGCTGGGAAAGAAATTGCATTTTTATATTAGATCTGTGTATTAAGTGAAAGCAGCGTAATATTCAGTACCTACTGCTTTCTATGTTGTTAATATGAACGAAACAATAAAATAAAAGCAGAAAATCACTCACTGCTCTGGGCTGAATAACTTCTATAGATTTAATAAGACGTTTCTTACTTACTACTTATTTTAAAATGCTGTAGCGTGAAGATAAACATGGCGGATTGTCACTCAGCGCGGTTCTCTGCTAATACAGCAGTGTCTGTTAACAGTCGGGGGCGGGGCTTGTAAAATGTGACATCATTTTAAAGATTCTTACAGATTGAAAAAAAGGAACGAGCAGGTTTTTATTATTATAGGGTGATTGTGTACACACTGCCAACACACATGTATGTTCAAACAACATGTAAAAGTGAATTTTGCATAATGGGTGCCTTTTTTAAAGCATTTTTAAATGCAAACTGTTGCTTTTGGCTAAAATACCATAGTCCATAATCAATACTACCGCTTCCTTCAGTGAAAAACTCCATCCCCTGTTGTCCTCCCACATATTTGTTTAGAGCGGTTTAGGAATGTTTTGGCTTGTAAACTGTGTATCTCTCACCTGTTTGAGACCAGATGAATTTTTCACATTTCGTCTTGATGGATTTGTTTCTTACAAACAGGCAGCTTTTCACTTCTTCACAAGACGTTAAAGGTGTAATAGATGATTGTCTTCAGAAACCTTTTTTGTTATGCTGGTTGAAAGTCTCTTCACATCCCGATAGCAATCATTAAGTTAAGTGGTCTAAATGTATTTATATATTCTGTGGAAGGCATAGGACCAAGAAATGTTCGTCCAATCAAAACGCTCGGTCCGAGCGTTTTAATAAGCTTTCCTACCTGCCTGTCAACTTATGTATCTGCATGCCTCTGTGCACCCGGTTCGCGCAGACAGGATACGTGATCGGCGCGTTCATGCACGCTGTGCAGACAGAGCGAGGATGGCAGGCAAACATCAACAACCCGATCTTCCTTCCTGGTATTGTAGTACTTTTAAAGTTTTCTCACCGGTGAATGACGCACGATGTAGCCCAGCGATTAATCCAGTCCTCGTGCCCCCAGCTCTGCATATTTTGAATGTCTCGCTTAGTTAACACACCTGATTCAGATAACCAGCTCATTAGAAGTGAGCTACGTGCATGAACTGTGTGCCGATCGATATGATCCCTACACAGTGTTCATTGCTCCCTACTCACTGAGCAGGGGAAATATGTTGAAGTTTACTTCACTTCGGAACATGGGCTGGTATTGGAAACCGC